GTTTTTGTGCAAATAACTAGATAAAATTAAAATAAAATGAAATTTTATATATAAAAAAAAAATTTATATAGAAAAAAGTCCTAATACTCGTGCAACAATTTCCAGAATCCATGTATTTGGCCTCAACGCCATAGACGTGGAACGGGAGCATAAAAGAAAAAAAAGACAAAGACAGTCTCTTTCTCTTAAACCATTTAATTCTCTGAGTGAATCTATGAAAACCAAAAGATCTTGTGCATTTTTTATACATCTAGGCGAAGTTTTTGATAATCAGGTTCCAAAATTTTTTAACTTACTTGACCAACCAGTTCTACAAGAAGTTAAATTTAACATTCAAGATAAAAATTTTGTAATTGACTATAATGATGATTACAAAGAAAATAGTGATAGTATTAGATTCCTTGTCCTATTTTTGGAAGTTATTGACCAGGATCCAATATCTCATCATGCTTATCGTAAACTAGCTAAAATTTAGCCTGAATTACTACGAGCATATGAGATTTCAGATACTGGAACAAGAATTAACCAAGAAATGAGCATTAAAATATCTATTTTTACCCTAAATATTGAAAATATGACTCTTGAAACTTCTAATATTGATGTTGATATAGGTAAGATAAAAGTGGATCTTCGCTACAAATAATTCAAAATTTAATTTCACTAATTTTAATAGCTTCATTCCTCTTTACAGATACTAGTGATCAAGAGGTCAAAGAAGAAGTTTTAAAATATGTTGGTAAAGCATACTATAGGCGCATTACTGATATCTTTATATATATAATTCCGAGTCTTGTAAACCAAAGCATTCTTAATACAAATAACCCTGTCATTAATATTCGAATTTCGGGTAATGGGTGTAATGTCGGTAGAACAATCAGCCACATGATGATAATGTGCACAATTTTAGATGATATGTTGAACATTCATAAAGCAGATTTTCATTACACATTAATTTTATACCCGGGGGTAGAAAATTATGAAATCCTAAAAAAAGTAATAAAACTCCTTATAACTAAACTAAATAATTTGACAATGAATGGACTAGTGAACTCATATGGTATAAAATGGAGAATTGAATTTTACTTTAGCAGTGACTGGAAATTCATGGCTATTATATTAGGATTCAATGCCCCAAATTCGAATAATTTCTGCTCTTGGTGCCTTTGCACCAAAAAAGATATTAGAAATAAGGACAAAACATATAAAATTGAGAAAACTATGGATTTATTAAAATCAGATTCACCACCGCCAGGTCACCTCAAAACTCCTCTCCTCCCCATGATACGTTTGGACCAGTATATGCCCGATGAGTTGCATATTATGTTGAGAATATGAGATTGTCTCTGGGAGTTGGTAATTTAAGAAATCAAGTCAGAAAATAAATATGATAACCATATAAGAATGATAATTAGTTTAGAAATGAAAAGGATTTCCATCACATTTCGATTTTGGCAAAACCATAATATACAAAATTGGTCACATACGCCTATAATGAGAGGCGACAAAGAAAAGATATTGCGTGATTTCAATTTTGAAGTCATTTTCGATAAAGAACAGGCAACATTAATAAACTGTTTGTGGAGGGATTTTTATTTACTTTACAGACTTATGAAAGAGCTGAATGCAGTTTCCACTCTTTTCATAGTTAAAGTAAAAGAATGGTTCAACTTATTCCTCACACCGTATCAAGGCATACCAAATACTAGAACCTTTAAAAAAGGTCTCTACCGCTCTAAAGATGTCATGCCTTATATACATGTTCTGGTACACTATGTACCAGAATTTATGGTGCATTATCAGAATTTTGGGTTGGCTGTGTTTTCCTACGTGGCAGTTGAGAAAAAAAACCATGCCCAGGTTTCTCTCTTTTACAAAAAATCAATGAAAGATGGAGGCAAAGGCATGGAAAGAAAATCCATTATTCTTGAAATACTCAATTATGAAAATCAATCATTATATTATACCTATCAATCTACTTTCAGTTCAACATCTAAACCTCAATATCTTCATATTAAGAAGAAAGTGAAGATTTCATAACATTTTTTAATAAATGATTGTCTGATTTTTATAATTGATAAATTTTAATTATTTAAATTGTTAAATGATTAAT